TTTCCACCACAACAGCCTCCACTAAATACAACAATTAACATTCTTCATGTTTGGGTGAGCGAGGCGAGTGATGACAAAGCAGTTAAATTCGATATAGAAATTAATATTTTTTTTTTCAATGGAGATTCCAATTAATATCGCGAAGGACACTCATTTCTTAATACTCTGTATACTTCTTCTTATTTGTGGGGACAATTAGAGGTTGCGGGACGCATAAAAATTGCGAATTATCGAAGATTAAAATTTATGTCATAGTGAGGCAAAGTCTTGCAGCAGCTTGTAGGGCAAAGTTGACTGATAAAATAGGATTGTCTCTAGGTACACCTAATTTCTAATTGACCCTCCATATTATCCATCTGTCGTGTATTCTTCGTCGGATTTCAATTAAACATCACAATCATAATAATAATAATTACTATTATTGTCAGTCAATGCAAAATATCTATCTAATAAATGTTTTCAATTTGCATCATATCTTTATACATAAAAAAATAAATAATGACTGGACGCTATTGTCGTTATGGATTAATGCTCTGTAGAGGTTTTGTTAGATAAACTATGAACATATTTTTGCAAATTTTTGACAATTTTTATTAGCTTTGTGAACTTGAATTTAACAGGTTTAACTTTTTTCAATTTACTATGGCCAATTGAGGTCAATGAACATTTTATTGACACCAGCTTTGACAAATCTTGTGGAGCTAGATATTACATCAGTGTCCATCCCTACAATCCTAACCTTAAGATCGCTACAACTGCATTATTATATTAAAAATAATAAAATAAATTGCGAGATGGATAGTCCTACAGTATGCAGGAGATGTAAATTAATAGAGATTTTTTTCCCGCCATAATTCGCATGGGTAATGGTGTCAATAAATTCTATTATAACATATTAATTATAATAATTTTCCCATAACTTTTTTTCATTATATGCAAAAGTTCAAGCATAGAAACGACTGTGAGTGCGAATAGTTATTGCATCACATTAAAAAAAATAAAAGCTTCAAGAATGAGGATTGACAACGTGATAGAGCGACAAGGTAGTAATATATCATAATCATGTTAGGCACTGCCTCCTCTATTAAATTACTATCTATGCTGTATTGATGTTAATTGCCTAATTAAATGAATAATTTGTTCTGAATTATCGGATTGACTTCACTGAGACTGTTAAAGAAATCAGCAGGGGATCGATCTTAATTTTTGTGGATAGAAAACTAGATTTTTGGAGCTTTGTGATCTGGTTCTAATGTATATATGTTTGGGTGTTCTCTAGAGTGACTTAGGACACAAGTGGATCCGCAATTTCAAAGTCTAATCATAAACTTATTCAAAATCTCTTCAAATTTGATACAATTCTGGTTGAGGTAAGCAAAGGAGTCAATTCCTGGATCTGGATCTACGCCATACTCAAAATTCATGATAGACAGCAATTGAACTAGCTTTAGGCTATATAATCGTACCCGTCAGGTTAATAAAATAAAAAAAACTTTACCGTTTCAGATCAATTGTGAATCAGATGTGCGCTAGGGCGTTTCGCAGCTAATGAAAGTTGCACGAGTGAAGATGCGCCAAACCACTGCACTCATACCTAGACCTAAAATTTATAATCCATCACAAAACAGTTCCCACAAGTGAACAACTCCCTAAACAAGTTTTTTGAAAACTTGTTATGATCCTACAATACGTACAAAGTTAAACTACAAAACCTATAAATTATTAACTATCACTAAAAGTGACTTATTGGTAATTTAAAGCACCGCTGCCTACTTTACATGTTTATTTAAGTACATAAAAATTATATAATTTATTTACCCATAGACTGCAATTTCTAAGTAGAAAAATGCACATTCAATCTTTTTTTTAAGGTCCCATAAAAGACATTAAAGACATGTTGTTTGAGAGAAACATTTCTTAATCGCACTTTTTTGTGTGCTTGTTCAATTTACTTCGTCGTCTCTCTTTCTCGTTTCATGTTCTGCTCATTCTGGAATTTCGTAAGCGATCGCGTTCGAGTAAAATCTTTCAATAATTTTTTTTATTAACAAAGCAAAGCTAAATGTTGAGCATGTAAAACAAATAAGTTATAATTTTCCATATTTATGCTCTATGCTGCTCATGTTATGAAAAAAGAACAAGCAGGAAAATTGTTTGAACAAAAGTCTATGCTTGAAATTAAGGAAAATGAATCAGATTGGCTTTTGGGTGCTTTAAGGCAAGGTTCTTTATTGTTTAAACTTGGATATTGATTTATGTTCATTGGAATCGCTGAATGCAGAAGTGATTTTATTGGAACAATGAACATTTTTGTTTGTGGAAGAATTTGATATTTTGAATGTGAACATGATTTTTCGGTAGGAGGAATGTATCAAGAGGTAAAAGCTTCAAGACGTTTTGGAATTTCAGGTAGAATTTAAAAAAAGAAATAATTGAATTTTTGTTGGAGGATTTCAGGCTGAATTCTGTGTTGAAATGTAAGAATCAATATTTGAATGCTAAGTTAATAAATTATAATAGCAGTTCCTTCACATTATAGTTCCAACACGCTACAATTCATGTCACCAATCTAAAATACCCTTGAATTATTTCAAAATTCAATTTAATTCTAATTTAATTCAATCCATTTCCGATCATTGAATTGCTATAAAAAAATCTATCGACTAGAATGACTTTTTGTCTGGACAAACGTAAACAAAGCTATGCACGACCGGCTATTCAACCATGATTCATGAAAATTGATAACCACAAGAACTCAATAAATCTTTTAAATATTTAATAACAGCCAAAGCTTATGACTATTCATGATTATCTTTAAAAAATGTTCTACGATAATTTGCGTCATGTTTTAAAAAATAAAAGGTGATTATCGACTTTCATTATAGGACTTGCAATTATAATCGCTATAGCTGATGGCAGTTTCATGACTGCTAAATTGTAAATCATAAAAATTTGAAGGTTTGAAGGGCTGTTTAATTTGATTATAAAATAATCGTCTGAAAAGTAATTTAAGTTTGTAATTTTCTTCGCAATATTTGAGTAAATTAATTTTTTAACAAGTTTTATTGTCTTTCAAGTTTAATTTTAATTCAGTTTTTAATAGGCTCAATATAGCCTGTTGGTTAAGGCTCTAATATAATTCTTGATTCTGATTAGATTCAAGTATTTGGCATGAACTACTTATCATTTCAATTTAACAAAATTAGAATGATTAAAAGTTTATATTAACTTAAAAATTGATCAGTTTCTGCTTCCACAAACTCCAAGCTAAACTCTTGTAAGTAGCTTTTCCCAAAAAATTCCGAACGATAAACAAAGTCACGTAAACCACAATATAAGAGAAAATTACATGCAGTTGATCTTTCTTTGATAGCCAAACAATTTATTTATGCAAAAATATTTCACCGCTTTGAATCGGAATGCATGCAAATTGATAAAATAGTCCGATAAATTGTTAAAATCATGGCAAAAATGTATGCAAGTATGTTGCATAAATGTGTCTTGCATATATGTTAAAAATAGGTCTAGCTCCTGACATAATCTCATTTTGAAGTTAATAGAGCTTCTGGGCTATAAAATAATAGGTTTTAGAAGTCTTCACGTATCCGCAAAGACCTTCAATTCCTGGTAATTTCAGAATGAAGCAAAAAATGTCGACAAAACATCCACCAGACATAAAACCCCTGCAAAATCTCTCAATTTCGTACGCCACAAAACTTAATTTCTGTATTAAGCCAGACGGAAAATAATTGTATGCCTTTATATGTGCTATTTGAATAATAACAATAATAAATGAATCATTGCAACTGAAATATAACTCAATATTCATAACATGTAACTGAATCCATATGCAATGAAACAATTCCTGTGTGAATATTTATTTATATCTCACAAAAGACATTATTTAATGCATGTTTGGGGACTGCTTACTAATGATGTTCAGCATTTAAATTGTTTTTTTTTGCATTTAGGAGCATTGAAGTAGGTCTGAATAATGTTCTCATTTGTTTATCCTTCAAGAAAAATAATCATAAATGAGTTTTGGGATTTTGCGACTATTTGATAAGATTCTGAAGCTATGTGTCACTTTTCATTAGTATCAAGATGTACAAGATGATTCAAAGCACCTCAATTTAAGAAACATCATCTCCACACAATCCCTTCAAGCATCATTTCTGTAAAATCTGTTGAACTTAAACATACTCGATTATAGAAGCATAAAATCAAGCATTAACATGAACAAGACATGAAGAATTGCGCGGAATCAAACATAAAATCTGCATGAATAAGAAGTCAGCTTGCCGCGCGTGTACCGAGAGAACGATAGACACAATCGAAAACATATAAATGCATTAATAATTTTTTTTTTTTTCCTTTACGACTTAGTTCAATTTTTTTTGCACAATGCAATTGGCAGCGGGACATTATGCAATTTTTGTTTTGTTTTCTGGCATTTCACTCGACATATGCACACGACGGCTTACTTTTCTGGCTCTCTAATGTAACACGGTTGCACAAATGCGTTTTCAAAAATTGTCTAAACATGGGACATTTGAGGTTTAAAATTTTAGGTAACTAATGCAGCCTATATTCATCGCCAGCTGACTGTGACTTGACTTTTAAGTTCATGTCAAAATGCATTGTGCTATAAATGAATTTTTATTTTACTTTATTGCTGCTTCTAAGGCTAATTCGATACTGAGAAACGAATCGTCGCTAAAATGTTGCCTGCATAAGAGATCAATAATGGATATGAAAAAATAAACCTCTGAGAGAGGGGAGCTTGCTCTCTGCACTGTATGCCTTTTGATGTCTCTTTGAATGTCTCGAAAGGAAAGAAAAAGAGAACAAAATAAAAATCTCAAATGAGAAATCACATTTGGGGATCAGGTGAGTAAGTAACTTGAAAAATTTTTGTTGCTGCTTTTTTTTTCGGGAGGTAGCTTGCAGCCACTGCAAAAACTTTACTATATAAACTGACGTGTGCCATTCGAAAAGACATCAGTTAGTTCTCGAACTTTAATAAACAAACAGTTTTAAACCAAATAAAAAATACTTTAGTAATCATGAAGGTACGAAAAGGAAAAAAAAGTGAAAATTTTGTGGATTTTTTTGGAAATACTTGAAAGTGAAAATTATATTTTTTGAAATGCAAAGCTATGATAAAGGAATTAAAATTTTGTGAATATTAAATGCAATAGTAATTGATAATTTTAATACAAAGAAGATTAAGTATATTAAAGTGGCAGTAATAGCTTGTGACATAAAATAAAGAAAGAAGAAATTCAAGTGCTTAAAAAATCCTCAAAAAAAGTTTTTGTGAATTTAGTGATCCAATACTGATATCTACCTATTTATTATAGTTATTCATTGTTGCCGCTCTCTGCATTGCATCAGCAATTGCCAGCCCAGTTTATGCTCCATTGCCAGCATACCATGCCGCTCCAGTTTATGCTCACGCTCCAGTCCACAAAGTTGTAGTCCCAGAACCAGTTGCATACCCAAAATACTCATTCAACTATGGAATTAAGGACCCACATACTGGAGATATCAAGTCACAAGCCGAAGAACGCGACGGAGATGTCGTTAAGGGACAATACTCACTTGTCGAACCTGATGGTTCAGTCAGAACTGTAAGATCAAAAGGAATTGAATGATTTTATAGAATTTCCATTAATGATTTGATTATTTAGGTTGACTACACCGCTGATGACCACAATGGTTTCAATGCCGTCGTCCACAAGACAGCTCCAGTTGTTGCCCACCCAGTTCCAGTCGTTAAGCAATACGCACCAGTTGCCTACGCTCACGCTCCACTCGTCCACGCTCACCACTATTAAATAATTAATTAAATAGAAATTAGCATCATGCCAATTTTTTTATCAACCACAAAAACCCATCCTCAAAATCCTCAAAATGATATATAATTCGTAAAAGACGAACGAATCAGTATTCGATGATAAATTTATTGATTAGTTTTAACTCAATTCAATTATAAATAGATTTTTTTTCTCTACAAACTCCTATCTCTTCTCATCTGTCCTACTCTCTGTCCTATGAGACCTTCTTTCTTATTATTATTATGCATTCTGTGTATGATTGTTGAGAGATCAATTCCATCACTATTTCTTAAATGACAAAATCTCTTCTAAAATGTAAGATTTTTTTTTATAAAATACAAAATATAGACGATAAAGACAAAAGTTATTGTTCGAGAAGTAAAACCAAAAAAACTTTCACTTTTTAATCGTTCAAATCATCTTCAAAATGCAATTTCAAGCTTCAATTACATAATCAAGCAATTGTAGTGCTGTAGCTAGAATTGAATAGGATAGCAAATTATTGCCTGACACTCAATAAGCTACACACCTGAACGAAACTCAAGAACATCAAAAGAAAAGTGAAATTTAGTGCCAAATTAAGCAGTTCAGTTAACCATGAACAGCATAAAGGTGAATCTTGCGATTGCCATTGAAAGAGAAATGAAGAAAGTTTTTAATGTGATGAATTTAGACATTTCTTGAGTGCTAATTAATGTGATAATATTTTAAAACTATCTCCTTCCTCATCTTCCTTCATATGATGCACAATATCCATCCTATTTACTTCCTTCTTTCTATATACTTTCCTGTTATTTTTTTTATTAAACACAAAAAAATTGCAAACCTTTCACATTCTATACTCAGTGACATATCACGTGAATGATGAAAAAAAAGCATTTTAATTATCCTGAAGAATCATACAAAAAGTCGATATGAGAATGGTGCTAAATATTAATAGTTATAATCCATAAATTATGATGGCATCTCATCCACTTCTACTGCCAATTTTATGCTCTCTATAGAATATACAGAAATGGAATCATCATAATTTATTGATATAATTAACATTCTCGATCGCATAGTTTTGTAAGAATATTGAATAGAAATGAACAAATTTACATCGTACGATAAATGATGAAAAGCTGCTCATTTCCATTTGATGATAAGAAATGCAAAAAAATTAAATGACAAAAAAAATAAGTTTTTTATATGTAAATAAAAAAACAGAAGATTTGAAGTTGAAAAAAATACTTTGTTTCTTAATTTATTTTACAGTCACAGTCATTCACAATTTCCTAGTTGGATAGGTCAACAAAAATACAGCATGCAATGTATTAAGTCATTTTCAACGTATGTCTACGTTTGTCGCTCCAATACTCGAATGCTGATCGACGTAAAAGCAACATGCGATTGCAACATCGACGCTACATCCATGACAAGTAACAAGAAGACAAACAAACAGCTGATGTCGTGTAATTTATTTTCAACTTCTTTTAACTGTGCTGTATATTATATTAGATTTTCATTTTCCCAATGGTAATTGACTTTTTAACAAAATAATAAAGTAAATTCAAGTTAAATGTAATAATAATAAGTATTTTGTTGCTACGTTTGACCTTTTCTGTAATGTTGGTTTCTTGCCGCAAGAGACTTGGATTCGAGAAGGTTCGATTTATTTAATGAGAAGATCAAAAAAAAAATTGGTTAATTCAAAATAATTACAAATATCTTATTTAATTAAAGTCTTGATTTAAAATCTAAAAGATAAAGGAAGAATTTTTCCGACAAAAATTTGAATCTATTCCTTACTGTAGTGTCTGAGCAAAGTGGAACTAGGGGTATCGAGCCATATAAAGGCGAATCTGCCAGTGCAAACATTAGGTCTCTTTAATGCTAGTGGTTAGGTATAAGAGCGGATATTTGCAAACCTCTTTTGTGAGATCGTGGGTTCGATTCTTACTGGAAACTGATCTATCAACAATAAAAGAGTGCTGTCGATATGGCAAGGATTCGCACCATGCTCACGGCATTACACTTACATATGTTTTCTCATCTGAATTCAATACAAAGTTTATTAAGACTACTGAAAGGTAAAGCTTCATTTCTAAGTTATGATTATCCTTGGGTAGCCCTTAAAACTGCACAGATTGAACAAAACGAACAACAAACATGACAAAATTACAACAAGCTCAAAAGTTCATAATAAATAAATTACAATAATTTTTAACCAAGTATATCTACTCCACCTCGAGCATTTATCTACTTATTTACCTATATTTTTCCAGTATAATTCCTATTAATAAATAATAATAATAGTAATAAAGTTTAAAAGAAATCAATGGATGATCAGCATAGTAAAAATAGTTATTACATAATTTTCATTTATTTTCCTTGCAGCATCATGCACAGTATGAGGTGGGCGTGAAGTACGGCCGAGACCCATATCGACACAGTTCAAAAGTTATACCAAATTTATGTCATAATTATGTCAGGTACAAAAACACTTAGCTTGAATTTTGTCACCCTCGGGAACACTATGAACCAGTATAGCTGATTTTGGTCCAAATCTCGGCCATACTTCACACATATTTGAACCACATTTTCTCGTAAATGTTAAAATATTATTAAAAAGTAATTAATCCTGAATTATGTAGCTACTTTGTCAAGTGTTTTAAGATAAAGAATTTTTTTTTTGGTTTCCACAGTAAGAGTATGAACAAAATTCAGATAGGGTAGTCGAAATTTTAGATTTTGTTTTTTTTAAGCTATGAATTACAAAAAGTAATATTGGTATGTGATTTATGTCAGAATTATGTCAATTCAAATAAAACATCCAAAGAATTTTTTGGCCAAAGAACCAAGAAGGAAATACATTTTCAATTTTGGACTAGGGGCGACCCTAGTCAAAATCAATTTTGCCACTTTTTTCTTCGAGGGTTTATCCAAATGGATTGAAACTTTGCATAAATATTTTGATGCTTAAAACAAATACAAATAAATCATGTTAAAATTTTTTTGAACAAAGAACCAAGTAGGAAATACATTTTCAATTTTGGACTAGGGGCGACCCTAGTCAAAATCTAGTTTTTCACTTTTTTCTTCGAGGGTTTATCCAAATGGATTGAAACTTTGCATAAATATTTTGATGCTTAAACAAAATACAAATAAATCATGTTAAAATTTTTTTGAACAAAGAACCAAGTAGGAAATACATTTTCAATTTTGGACTAGGGGCGACCCTAGTCAAAATCAGTTTTGTCACTTTTTTTTTCGAAGGTTTATCCAATTACAGTAAAACTTTGTGTGAGTATACTAATATTTATACAAAACAGTTTTAAACATCTAAAACAAGAAACATATTCTATATGTCGTCAGACCCAAATTTTACAAATTTGGTTGTACATTCAAAAACAAAGTGACTTAAAATTTTGTCCAAAAAAAAGATTTTTATTAATTCAGAAATGTGTGACCTGAGAATTAGAATGCTCATACAAAGTTTTACTGTATTTGGATTTATCCTCGAAGAAAAAAAAATTGAAAAACTAGATTTTGACTAGACCTGTCCCCAGTCCAAAATTGAAAATGTATTTCCTACTTGGTTCTTTGTTCAAAAAAATTTTAGGATGTTTTATTTGTATTTATTTTAAGCACTAGAATATTTATGCAAAGTTTCAATCCATTTGGATAAACCCTCGAAGAAAAAAGTGGCAAAATTGATTTTGACTAGGGTCGCCCCTAGAAATGTATTTCCTACTTGGTTCTTTGTTCAAAAAATTTTAAGATGATTTATTTGTATTTGTTTTAAGCATTAGAATATTAATGCAAAGTTTTAATCCATTTGGATAAACCCTCGAAGAAAAAAGTGACAAAATTGATTTTGACTAGGGTCGCCCCTAGTGTGGATGTTTTATTTGAATTGATATAATTTTGACATAAATCACATACCAATATTACTTTTTGTAATGCATAGCTTAAAAAAAATCGAAATCTAAAATTTCGACTACTCCATCTGAATTTTCATCTCTTCACTGTAGAACAAAAAAAAAATTCTTTATCTTAAAACACTTGACAAAATAGCTACATAATTCAGGATTAATTACTTTTTAATAATATTTTAACATTGACGAGAAAATGTTGTTCAAATAAGTGTGAAGTATGGCCGAGATTTGGACCAAAATCAGCTATACTGGTTCATAGTGTTCCCGAGGGTGACAAAATTCAAACTAAGTGTTTTTGGAGCTGACATAATTATGACATAAGATTGGTTTAACTTTTGAACTGTGTCGATATGAATCTCGGCCGTACTTCAAGCCCACCAGTATGAGCTATAAACGAATGAGCATGAGATTCGTTATTCAGGCGCCTCATTCTATTCATTAAGAGTCTTAAATGATTGACCTCGCGAATTCGTCCACACACCCATTTAATCAGCATCAAGTTCACTGCGGGTTCATTGATTTTTTAATGGATATTGAGTGATGAAAAGTGAGCATAAATATAGATGGTAAAAGCTTTTTAACACGATCATAATGAGAAGCATAAATTCAAGGTCTAAGTTAAACATTTTAAATTTGACAGCAGTTTTTTTTTTAGATAATTAAGGCACAGAAGAGTTAAAAATCAAGGTTTAAACTTTTTTAATCGCATCATCTGTTTTATTACGTCATGTGCTGCATACATGTAGCATTACTTTTAAATTTTGAATGTTTTGTGTCACATACTGATGACTTTTTGATAACTTTATGAGATTAAGGTTCCAATTAGTTTATTGAGAATCTATTCAAAAATAATCACCCACACGTGCATCCATAAATGCCAAATTGCGTTGTGTGTAAAAAGCAGGTCGACTAAATGTAAAAAATCTCCACAAAAAATGATGTAACTTGATAACTTTTGGCGTCTGCAATTCTTTTCTTTACAAATTTAGAAAGATTATTTATTTTCAGAAGTTACAGTAAGCAGCTTTGTCCATATAAGAATTGATGATCCATATTTTTTGGATTTTTACAGTCACAGAACTTTTTTTGAAGATTTCTTAAATGACTGTTATTATTCTCACATGACGATAATGCTTCTCATTTAATTCACATTTCAATTTGGTCCGTAACGATGTCTTTTGTGAATTTATCAAGATGTAAATGCACTTTTTTTTGGTGGGTGTCTTACGGTGCTTCGTGAGCTTGCATATGATGAGAATAATTTAAAGTTATTTAAGAAGGCAGTGAGTTGTTTTGAGTAATGATTTTTCAGGTGTTTGAATGATTGAGATTGTTCAATTAACATCGATATGCTTAATTTTAATGAAACTGCCATCAAGTTGCGTCATAGATTTATCCGGTCAGTGATTAAACAATTACAGCTCATATTTAATTTTCAGCAACAAATTCCGCAAAGAAAGTCATTAAATAAGACAAAAGAACTGTTAATAAATCATCCACTGAACCGTTACAAAACTGTGCCTTAATCGCATGTTAAAACTAATCTAGAATCACGCAGATTTTGACACCTAGGAGTTACAGTTTAAGTTAAATAAGTCGCCTTTGTTGCGTGATCGTCGTGAAATGATTCAGAATAACTTTTTTTTATTTCCCTTCCAATTCTTCTTGAAGTTCAATCCTCAATGAGATTTTATTGTCAAAATATAGGTAACTAATGTCATGAGATGAGGCATCCGATGATACATGAACTAACTGTTAATCGTCAACAAAGCAATTATTATTAAACGACTATCTTGAATGGATTTAATGACGAAAATCTTCAATTAAACTTTATTTCTGGCAGTAATTCTTGTATTTGAAGTCGATGCGTATGAAGATCAATAAAAACAATTGCAAAATATAAGATATAAAACACCTACAAACTCAAATCAAGTCTATTTTCATCACGTGGATTCAATTGCTTCCCTATGACACAATTTTAAAATGCATTGATGGACGAAGAAGGTGAAGAAGCCAAATTAGTATTATTTTAATATAGCGGCGTTCTTTGTAGGAATCAGGGTTGGATCAAGGGTACGGAAGTGACTAAAATAATTAAAATTGAATAATAATCAGTTGATTCTCAGCATTGGAAATGTAAAAACGAAGAATCATAGAACAAATCTATCTCAACTAATCACACTTACCCAATCCTAAGTAGCACGTGTAAAATTTGACAAACCAGGTCAAAATAAAACATCCAAAAGCAGTCTACATCATGTCATCTATCCCAACTCTGAACTAAAATTTCACATACAGTCAATGATCGCATTCTCATTCAATTTATGAATGAGTCAAGTTGAATAAACTCATCCATTAGTAAAGTCGCGGGTAATTTCTTTTCAAGGTAATATCTTTTATTATTCAGCTACACATGTTAAAAGATTGCTAAAATTAGCTTACCGCACATGATGAATGATGTGATGTATACCTGTCTCCTCATTATCATCACATGGAAGTTCGGACATAAAAACAAACGCAAATGATTGTTTTGGAAGCGCACAAATACAAAATAGGTAGAAGAGAATTGTGCTGGATCTGAGTCGCGAAAAATTTCTTTTGTTTCTGTCTCTTTCATTCTCACATGCTGAATATAGAATTGTTGATGATGATGATGATGGGCTTTTTTTTGTCTAAAATATAATAAAAAATATCCACAAACTGTTGAGAATATAAATACATATGGACACTCAGCAAAAGACTTCAGTATTGCGAAATAATCGGAGTGTGATTAACTTTCTTTCTGATTCCGGCTAGAATATCACATTACAAGTGGATTTCAAGTTGACATTTAAAGTACCATAAAGAGCCACAACAAGATAATAACTCAATATAATGTGGATTAAGTGTTGATTTTAAGTGTCAATTATCAGTTTTTATGTTCATTGTTTTCGGTAGAATTCAGAGGCAAAATAATAAAGTTCAATAAGGACTAAATACTTAACAATGTTGTTAAAATTTGTAAGTCTTTACAATATTAATTTGTATCAAACTGTTAGTGCTACTTGATTTAAATTGAACATGTGCAAATTGAATGGATTGTTTGAAAAATAGATAAGTCAATTATTGACATTATTATTAAATTTTTTTGTGAGAATTAGACTTGATGTAGACTTACTAAGTTGTGTAGTAAATTGAAATTGTGTTTGTAGAGTGAAAATTGGATGAGATTAAGTGAATTGTAGTTCAATATGTGGAATAAAAATTCTCAATTGGAAGTCAAAAAGAATATATTCTGGAGTTCTCAGCCAGGATAGATTTTTGGTATCAAAAGCTTCCTTGTCTGAGAAATTTCTTATATTTGCTAGTTTTGGGAACACAACTCTCTCGACAAAGTTCAGGCTTCGGCTCAAGAGTTGTTTAAAAATGATATGTATCCAAAGCTTGGTCTGTCAAGCACTCTCACCCTCCTGTGTCGTAGAATATTTATTCAATTGTATAAGAATGCAAAAAAGTCAGGCATTTCAAATCAGACATCATTTATGAATAACCCCTAAGCCAATAACCCCAAATCACAAAAAAATAAATACACAGCATCAAAGTGAATATTTTTGAGATTTAAACGTCCAAATATAATTATATCCCAAATATCATAGGGTATATCTTTCCTGTAAACCTGTATGAGATATGCTGCAGGCTTGTTAGCTATTTGCTTCTTTTTTATCTATTCTCAAACGTGTTTCTGTCTGTGATTTTATTTTGTGGCAATAAAAACTATCTATTTCTGGATAATATTTACCTTTAAACTTTTCAACAGAACAAAAAGTCACTTTAGACTACTCCTTAAAATAGAAGTAAGTTTCATAAAGGAATTTTTTGATGGAGATACCTTTAACTTCCAGCGTTGAGTGTCTACGGCTCTGTAGGATACCAATTTAATCTAGTCACAGTTAAATTGTATTTATAACCCAAATTGTAAGATTATGTTTATCAATACAAGGGAAGGGTACCTCCATTAGCCCTAAAAACCGAACGTAACAAGGCAAGGGCACCTCCATGTAGGTAACCTCCCTTCCTTCAGAATTCTTCCGAACTAAACGATCTTAGAATCTCTTAACATAATTTTCACTTTCACCTTCAAAGTATTAACTCAGCTATTCAAATGACACGCAAAACTCAACTTGTGCCTTCAAAATTAATAAAAACTCTTCATTAATAAACATTTTTAAAATCACATTTAACCTGAAATTTGATTTTAAACTTTTAATCCATAAAAACCATCGAAATCGTTGTAATTTACTCAATTTAAATGACATTAGTGTAAATTAATTTTTTTCACCGTAAATCTTCATTTTTGGGTATGACAAAAATTCTTTAAAATGCTGTTTCCACCCACGATTAAAAATCTTTCATCCAAATTTATTCTCACTTGAGAGTAATTAAATACAGTAATAAATAAGAGATTTCAATGCATGTTAAAGTAACGAACAAAATGTTTTGAATTTAATTTCTTGGCAGATAATTTTAGTCAATTTCTTAAGCTATGCAACATGTCGTACAGCGAGGCAATTTCGAGAAATACCAGAGGCCGCTGCAAGGTTGACTCATGCGGAATATCCATATTATAATATTATGGCACCTGATGGTAAGACATTTATGAGCTTTTAAAGCAGTCAATAAAGAATCTTTTGATATTTTAAAGGTCCTGGGACTTATGCATTCGGATATGAGATCGAGGACGCACCAACTGGAAATGTACAGTTCAGAGACGAGCAAAGACATAAAAATGGATCAGTGACTGGATCTTATGGAGTTTTACTTCCAAACAACGTGCTGCACATAACGAGATACATTGCTGATCATCTTGGCTATAGGTAAGCTTTGATTTGAGCTTTTTAAAAGCACGTAATGCTTTCTCAAGCTTGGATTAAGCATTGAACCTGAGGATTTAATTGGCTAGGATAGTAAATCTTGTATTAGACGATTTAAAACTATTTAAATCTCTATCCAGTTACCACAACTTTACCAAAACTATTATTTATCATTTTATCCAATCTATACTTCCAGAGCCAGCTCAGAAACCAAGAAAAAGACACCAAATACTCCATTAAGAATCGAACTTCAGCTCCAACCAACGGTATCCTCAATATCAACACAAGGAGAAAATCAAGAATATCCATTTATCCAGTCCACAACCACACCAATTCCTAGTCCATTTGAAACAATGAAACCCTCAATTGATCCTCTCGTAGCCTCACAAATTTATCAGCAACACAACATCAACCTTAATCCTCCCCAAAATCTCTTAAGAGATCCAAATGTAATTGATCCAAATGTGGCCAATGCATTCCTAAATCAAATGTATTTTGTTCCACAAAACCCAATCAATGGATTACGTCAAAATCCATATGATAATTCTGTAAGTACTTATTCAGCTCAACAAAATACTCCACAAAATAGCTTTCCATTTTTCAATTGGTTTGGATTTGGCAATAGCAATGGTAATAATAACAATAATAATAATCTGTATGCAGATCAGCTACAGCAACAACCACAAAGACCTGTTATAGATTTTCTTAATAGTCTCGCAAATAACAATCCCATCACAAATTTCTTCAATGGTTTCGGTCAAACATCACAAAGCGATCAAACTTCAAATTATCAAAATCAAAATCCATTCCAGCAATTTCTTAACAATCTTAATCCATTCAATTTTTTCAATAATAATAATAACAATAACAATCGACCGATTGTATCACTTCCAATCACTCAAAGTGATTATATTCCACCGGCTGGCACACAGCAAGGTGTTTTTATGCCACCACAAAGTAATGTTGATTCATCTGTCTTTAGTAATGATCATTTTCTTAATCCTAACACAATGACTCAGGGTAGTCCGCAAGTAGTTCATAATTATCAACCCACAAGCTCATCATTTAATGATTATTATCGTCCACAATATAAACCATACAGTAGTGCATGGCCACATAATAATAATAATAATAACAATAGACCTAATACATACAATCCTAATACTAATAACTTTGCAAGTCCTTACACATATTATAATCCATATCCATCCATGACATCTAACAATCATAATAAAAAGACCAGCACTAAGAATAAGCGCAAGAAGAATAAGAATAAAGTTCAAATTGACACAGATTCTGACTGGTTTGAGGATTTTTTAGATAAGAGGAAGGAAGCGAGTTTCGAGATCACCAAGAAGCATGCATCGAAGAAACAAGATGATGACTATGATTTAGATCTTGACGAATACTTTCGGTAAACTAGCTGATTTATATGCTTGGTTCATTGATGTCATCAACATTAATATTTATTATATCATAAGTAATTTTTATACATAAGCAAGCAATTGGCAATGGCAATAAAAAAAGAAGTTATTTTAATTGAAAACAATTTGGCAATGAATCATGTCCTCTTCATCCTTAACTGTCTCATACTCATCATTTGTTAAGGACAAAACATTTGTGACAATTTGTATATTCGTTTCCTTTATATTAAGGCACGATGAGCTTGTTGAGATGCATTTGATAAAGTTTCGATCATTTATGTCTCGTCCATGCTTCCAAACATTAAGGGAGTAGTTGACTGGATGTTGATAGACACTTGTCAACCAGACGCAGAGAACTTCTTCGGATTTTTGACTGGCTTGATTGGACATTGATGAGGAACCGAAAATTTCTCGTAAGTTGAATTTACATGTGAGAAGGAGGATTGGAAGGCAGTTTTTGAATGGTCCGTACCCGATGTTGCTATAAGGAAAGTTTAAATTATTGATAGCTGTCGATTCCATGTCATTAATCAACGTACATCATCTTACCACTCAACAAGAACATTTGATGACATCTCACAAAATTGACATTTCCAGACGGACTAAATACACAATTCACAACCTTATTTGGCGCCAATTTCACAGTCTCAATATAAGGATGATCAATAGTGATATGCGAAAAGAAATCAGTCGGTGTCGTGATCATTTCACAGAATGAGCATGGACAAGTGATTGGCAATCGAGGTAAATTAAGTGCGACATTTTCCAATGACTCGGCAGTATCATCACCATCTTCGGGCTCATAAAACTCAACCGGTTCCATTTGAGCTGGAAAATTATATTCGCATCGATAGACGGGTGTGAACTTGACACGGCAGGCATTGAATGGAGTTTTCGAATCTTTTTTCTCTTCCGGTGGAGAAGCTTCAATACGCGAGGCACTCAATGATGTGAAATTTGCCGTTTCCGATTCATTTATGGCTGCTTCATTTTTATAGAGCTGATATGCGGAGGCTGGCTGTGAATTTTCAACAACTGATTGAACTTCATCTACAAAACATTCACTTCGGCTTGAGAAAGTTTGACATGAGTGACGCGACTCACTGAAGACTTCACGAGTCGATGATTTGTTGACAATCAGTGACTCACCACGGTCACCAAAGCAAGTGCTGCGTGAACTATGAATCGGACTTTTCATGCTTGACTCTGGCTTGTTACTTAAAATTTGTGTCTTTTTCGATGATGATGTGGAATTGCAAAACTTTACATTTGATTCATGAACCTTAACAATTGGCTTTTCTTTCTGGACTTCAGCTATTCCAGAAAAATTCTTTATCATCTCCTTCTCATCTTCTTCATCCAGAATGACTGAAAGTGTTGAATCAACATGTTTATGTCCAATAACTTGAATACATCCGACGATTGGTTTCTTCTCACATTCAGCCTTGTTGCAGCAATTTTCGTACTCATCGAGTCCTTTCATGATTTCAAGGAAGCTACTGTCAGAGTCTGAATCTTCATTTTCTGTTGCTTTTACAGAAATTTCTTCAATTTTGTCTTGTGAAGGTTCTGGAATTTCGGAATAGCAGATTCTTGGGATGTCGTTGTTGATCTCAACCTGGAAGTAAGTTCGAAAGGTTGATTAAGACTCTAGACTTTAGACTCAATTGCATAGATTGGAACTGATCAGTAACATTTCGATCATTTTTGATTAGTTCCGCATCCTTGTTTAGTACCCAAATCCTGCTCAATACTCACATGAATAAAATTCTTAACTTTTTGATCACAAATAATGCAATTTTCAGCTCCAACATCACAAGTTTTACAAAATATATGCCCATTGTCGCAAATCCTTCGTTTTATTTCATGAAGCTCCAAGTCCACTCGTTTGCATGACGAACAAAACATTTCGGAATCAACAGTTTCTCGTCTTTCACTTTTAATATCAACATAAAAATTAAATGGAAATTAAAATCAATGCACACTGTGAGGATGATGATGATGATGATAAGAGTTTAATGAAAATTTTATAGATTTTTAAATAGGTCGAAAAGTTGATACTGACTTGATGTTGAATTTGTCGCTTATGCATGGCTGAAATCATCTTGGTTTGGACTAAAATCGTAATCGAACTAATTTATTAAAGACTTTCAATATCTAGCAATTCCAGCTTACCCACATTAAAGCTCTCATTTTCATGTATTAGATAATTAGCCAGAAACATGCATGCTTTTACAGAAAAATTGTCATGGATAAATGTCTCAACAATGTTGATGAAATTATTAACATGTTGGCATTAATATTATTTCTCATGTCATGAAAATGTCGGAAGTAATCTCGTCAAAATATGTCTCACTTTATTTAATACTTTATGTCTTTATTAAGTTAAGTTGAGGCCTGACAAGATGTTTGAGGTGAAAAATGGTTAATAAGCTTCTGAGGAGTTGATGTTAAATGATGTAAAGTAAGGAGGATAGACAACTTAATTTTGTAGGTTTTACTATTTGAGAGAGGAGTAGAAGGTAGAAGGTATAAGGTAGAAGTAGAGGTATGATCCGAAATTCCCATTTTCGAGCATCATTTACGAATGATCCCTGATTATGCAACAGCAAAATTATCCATTAATTCAAATTAATTACGGCAATAAAGTTCTCACATCAACACTTTCCGGAGCTTAACTCTACGGATAGCTAATTTATGTGCAAGACGATTCACCGATCTCGTTAATATTCGATTGTAATTTTCACATTTCACTTCATTTTGTATGATTTTTATTAGCATTTTTGCAGCTCACTTCTTTGAAGAAATTCCACACTTCCGAAATGCACTCTCTCGATATTATTGAATAATAGACGATTGAGTAACTGGAGCTTAAATGCAGCAAAAGAAAGAAAATAAAAAAAAAAATTAAAAACTTATATGCAATCGAAAAAAGTGCAAGTGATGATATAATTTAAATAGTTTTTTTGCATGTGCGTTTAATCCTGTCGGCAACACAATAGTTTTGATGACTCGAGGGAATTTTTTAATACTCACGGATTAACAGCCTAATCTCCATAAATATGAAAATCTTTTCTTTTTCATCAATTGTTTTATTTACGATGAAATAATGAAGAAAATTCTCATAAAAGCCTCATTGCATCATATTGCATCTCTTCGAGGCTGACATAAATTTCACATAATATATAATTTAGATCATTAATAGTAATAAAAACACAAAATTATGTTAGATGCTTAGACAACCATGTATGTATATCGAAAGCATAAATCTCTCAATTTAATATGCTTTTTTTCATGCTTTTCTCTCTTTTGTATGTGGCTCAAGTGTCATAAACTCTATACTTCTTTTGGGATTAGGGGTTCTTATTTTGTTGGGCTGGATATATCGTTTGGAGACAAAGAGTAAGGAGTTAAATGGCAAAGAACTATACGGACGTCCGAAGAACTTTTGCAAAGAAGCTGTTGACAGAAACAGTATTGCATTTGGTATTGGTAATTGGCAAATGGTAACCAGCGATAGAGCCAGCTTCAGGCACCATTTAAAGCAAGGCTTGGATCACAATTGATTTGTACGGCCAGCGAACAACAACATAGCTTAATAAGCTGAACATAATTGTCTCAAAAAGTTTGATCAAGCTTTTGAACTATCATTCTGAAACATGTGCTGGTTACTAGGCCTATTCTTATGACATTCAGCAAATCTGGATTCAAAGAATGCCAACTTAATAAAGTAGCAATCACAATATTCTTTAAAACATCTAAAAAACCAGTTTAAATCTAGTCAAATCCAATAAAATTTAAACAATTCCAAAATTCGATCAATTAAAATCCCTAAATTCCATCGTGCATGCTGTGTATTGTTGCACAGAAGTTACCATTTTCATTTATCCATGCTGTGATTTAACTGTGGCGCTACATGATTAATCAATAAGCTTGTAACTAGACGAGCATGCAAGGTGTAATCAATCATATCTTTATTGTGAATTTAATTCAAGTAGCAATACGAATAACATTTGATAATCCACTTCAAAATGTCACATTGAAATTTTTTTGGACAGTCACTTAATTTAGATAAAAGTTACCATGCCTTTTTTGTTTCAAGAAGATTAATACTTGTTGTTCGAAGGGAAAGCTCATTACAATGTTGGGAGGTAAAAAGTGATGAAAAAATTCTCATGTGCAGCAACGATTTATAACATATGATACATATTATGTGCCTATAACAATATTCTTATGCAATTTTAATTTGACATAATTTCAGTCCACATAAAATATTGTTTATGTATGAAGTAAGTTGATTTGGATCCAGTTTGGATGATGTGAATGAGAAGCATTTTAGGAAAATATTTACTTTTGTCATGCTTTACTAGGTTGAACTAGAGAATCAAACGGGAATAAATGCTGAAAAATCACTGCTTTGAGTTTCAATCATGAAATGTTATCTAAGGCTGTCCTGATCTTCCTCCCTCTCGCTTTGGTTAATTTTGGTTTAACTTTATTGGTTCCATAATAGCTTAATAACAATAAAGTCAGCTTATTTGACTCAAGATCTAGTCAACCTAGTCCGTCCAAACCCAAAGCACTTTAAAAAACTCTAGCAAACATAACAACAGAGCATAGATGCATTTAAATTAAGAAATTCATAGTCACAGCGAAGACAGAAAGAAGAAAAAAAAAATAAAAGCACATGAGAAAATAAAGTCACAAGAACTGTATATGATTAAGATCATCTTACATCGTAAGATTCGCAAATAACTCTAATGATCATCATTACTACTTTATGCGTGCAATAATCTCTTTAATTCAGCATTTATTCAGTTACTTTCATCTGATTTATAGACACAAATCGACCGTCTCTAATCCAACATTTTATCGCCAATTCAAAAGATTAAAAAAAATTCATAATTTTAAGAAAACGAGAAAGATTGATTGCATAAACGACAAATTGTTGTTATTAGCTTGTTTTGGTAAGGAGGAGGAAGAAAAAATTGACTTTATTTCCATGAAATCGATTTTAATATTCCACGCAAGAAAGAAATTGGAAATTTGCAACAAAATAAAATGTGGCGATTTAGTTCAATAATTTTGATGTTAAGCTTTTAACATAATTTCTTCGAAAACTCACTAAATAAGCAATTATGGACTAAACTAAAGCTCCTTAAGAAGTGTTTTGAAACTCATTGATGTGAGTCAATAGTTGGTAATCCAATTATGTCAAATTGTTTTCAAGCTACTTAGTCAACATGAAATTATTTGTCAATGGAAGTTAAGAAGCTTTTGGAATGTAAGATGCTGTTGTCATGATCGAAATTGTATGTGATTTGTTAATGTATGTCATGCCAAAAGATTTTAATATCTTGGGTTTTTATCACTTTTTGTTTGACAGTCTAAGTTTGACAGTATCTTGGTCAAGAAAGTTGAGATTACTGAAGTTCTGGAGCATATATAAAGCAATAACTAGTTTCACACAACCATTTTGATGTGCTCTCTTGCTTTTAACAACCCTAGCTACCAGCTCAAAACTAAAATCAACAATAGAGATCCAAAGACATCCTCTGAACCTCCCAATTATTCATATTCATCCATTAAACCTACACAGAAGCCTCAAAACTGCACATCAGCACTTAAATGATTGACTAAACATAACAAATTTTTAATTAATTTACATTCAGTGGTTTCTGTGGCTTCATTAACAAGAGAAAGAAATTCAATGCACGGACCAAAAGAAATGTAAAACCTCATTAAAATTAAGCATGTACATTTGACAAAAGCTTGTGTGTAATATGAATGTAACGATCATGTCACAACAATTAATTTAAGAAATTGAAATAAAAGCCAGCAAAAAAATTAGAATGTGGCGCTTGACTGTGAAAAGTGCATAAACATAAAAATGCATAACACTATCGCTTCCCCATCTGATCAATTTGCATTTCACGAATATATGCAGAAACAGCCATTTCCTAATGTTAAACTTTACTTTCAGTCGTAAGTTGCATGAATTAATTCCGACTTGGTGTGAAGCATTGAAAGTGAAAATAATGTTTTTGGACATTCAAGCAATCATCTGCGCTTAACTATATAGTTCATGACCAAAAGGTAATTGCAGTCATGAATGGACAGCTATAGATTATTTTGATATGCTTAACTTGTCTTGACTTATGATTTTATTGTGACGTGATTATTAATTTGATAATTTGTACCTACAAATTGACATTTTTTTTGTGATGAAATCTTTTTATGGATTTTAATCGAGAAATTGCAGCCTAAAGGCTTAAAGTTATACTTAAGGTGATGTAATTTTGACAGGGATTATTGATGGAACATAATTTTTAAATGTAGCTTTTATGTAAAATTGAGAAATTGTAAGAGTTTAAGCTGCATGAATATTTATGCATGTGGATAGATCTTTAATATTTCTAGACTTAACTTTGAGTATTGTAGATCTCCCTATAACTGCCATATGTGTATACTGTATAATGTAAAACAAGTTGGGTTTGATGGGAATCGAACCCACAACCTCAAAATAGGAGAGCTCTGACCACTCGTTCAGAGATCTCTGCCACTTGGCCACTGAGGTACTTATCTCACTTTCGAGTATCTATCCAACACATATAACTAGTTCAACGTGAGCCCTATGCTCAGGCCTATCTACTACAGATATGCTCTTTGAGCCATATCCACAAGTATAAGCAAAAAGTAAAGCGACAATAATAATTGCAGCCAGCAAATCACTAAAGATTAGTTTAGTATCACTTGAACATCCACTAAATATTCCACACTGCCATACTTTCGCACTGGATGATTCACCTTCACAAAACTCAATACCCCAACTCCCTTCACTCTATTCAGACACCACACAACTTTAAGGTCAATTTAGCTGCAATTTTCCACTTGCGAAAATGTTCCTCAATTTCAGCAACCGTAACTAACTAGTGCTAGACAATAATAATCCGTAGGAGTTTTCTCACCATTTTACAAGTCTTTTAATATTATTATTTTTTAATTGAAATATGAACAAGAGCAATTTTCAGTGCAAGACAAAACATTAATGACGATTACGCAAAAGCTACAGAAAAAATATTTTTATTATTGTGCATCATGTTGTGCATTTTTTTGCTTCTTTCTACTTACGTAGCTTGCTTTCTACGCACTAAATGAACATCAAGATAGATTAAAATAAGTCTGTTGGTATGTATTTTTTCATTCCATGTTCGGCTTATTTTTATTGTGGTCTGTAAAGTTTCAGTAAGAAATAAATAAAATCTTGTTTAAAAAACGTACATCCACTACATAAATATTTATTTCTATCAAAATGCGAATTTTTTTTTTCCTGCAACAACAGTCATTTCCTTATAAAGCGAGATAATATGCCGCAGAGATATTTTTAATGTTAATGTCAACGAGCGATTGAGGAAAATCCGACTTTGCACTTGAATTGCAATAGCTTTTTTTTCTTCTTATTACCTGCGTGTGCCTTGCTATCTCGTGTGATTGAGTTCATTAAAATATCATTATTATCGCTGCTTTTGTGTATGGATCATAAAGGTGTTAGGAGATGTTTGTAAATGACGTTGATATATAATTCCTCTCTGTAGCAGAGTATTTTCACAAATTTATGTCTTTAGTATTGAAAGATCATCCTGCGACAGACTCGAAAATTGGACATCATTTATGAGCAAATCCATAAGGGAAAATTAAAAAAAAAATATATGCAAAAAGCTCATACAAATCCATGTTTAGATTGGATATCTAGATTTTTGAGGGATTTGAGGCTGTCTATGCATTTTGTCTGATTAAGACTATATTGAATTGATCTAAGAACACTGAATATGTGCAATACATTGTCAAAATCTTAGTTGAACCCTACCCAGAGTGGATTCGCACCCCATTAACAGCTTTTTTGGAGAAAAATTACATCCTAGCTCCGTTAACCAAAGCTATAATAACGAACATGCCACCCTAAGCCAGTTCCCCGCGCACGCTTTCATTAATAGAGTGTTTCATTATTAATTTTGTATAAAAAGTCTTATTATATTAATAATAATCAGCAGTAGAATCATAAAAATTTCCCAATATCCAAAAATAATGTCTAGGTCAAGTTCAATTGCAGGCAATGTTCAAACCTCAAAAATGCGTCCCAAATCACCATCCACGAACAATAATTTTAATGTAATTTTAACAATTTTAATTCGAAATCCACAAAACTGCCGATGTTTAAAGCTAATGCAATTCACAAAAGGCAGAAGAAAGAGAGTGAATTGCAAACAATGCTAAAAAGCCATTTTCACGGTGCTTTCAAAGAATGCAAAAAAAAATAATTTCATTTCTGAAAAAAGACTTTTATTATCCAAAATTGCTTTTTATTACACATTCATCACTTCATATTATTTCTATTTTTTCCCGCATAATTGTTGCCGTTGAGAAGAAAAAGAGAGGATTAGATTAGCTATTGTTAAACATTTCATTTTTCAGTGCATTTTATTTGTTTTCTTCAGCTACATAAAAGTAGAAGAATTATTGCAATATCGATGAGTGAGTTGGGGTTCGTTTGTAAATTTTGTCAATCTGAATGTGGGATATTTGAGCCTAAATTACATTTGTCATTAAATTTGACTATCCATGGAAATATCTTATAGCTTTTAGATCCCCACGCTACTTAAAAGTTGAACATCATTTAAGAACAATCCCTAATCCGAAACTATGAAAATGTTTATAGACATTTTAGGATTTTTTGTTTTGGTCGTGTGCACTGGTATGATGAGGGTGGCTTGAAATGCTAAACGGATAATCCAATTTTAGGATTCGAACGCATCCTTAATTGAATTTATTTTATAAAATTATAAACAAACTTTAAAACCGATTAGATGATTTTACTATTTAATGTAAATCAAACTTAAATCTAGTTTCTATAACTTTATATGATTCAACATCAAAGCTTCAAGCATATAGCCATTCCAACACAACATAAAGATTATTATGTTATTGTTCAATACTCACGATATTTTCCTCAATCTCCCTCACCTCATACATTATTATTTTACTTTTTTGCCTATAAGGTAATTAAAATCATAGTTTGTGCCGCTGCTTATTGCTTGTTTAACTGGAATAAATGATTGAATATGTAATCTCGTTATGAGATTTAAGCTTTTTTTTATTTTATTTCTATGAAAAGAAAGGAAAGAAAATTTCTTTAAAATTTGTCATGCAAAAATAAACTTATGACTTACGATGCTTTGTGCATTAGTAAAATGCCATGCTCTTTAATTCAAATCAACCGACAAAATGTTGCTCATTCAACATCGATTAATCCGATTGTTTGACTTCTATGTAATTGTGTTTTGAATTATTGACCATTATGAAGAGTTGCAAAAGGTCTTTGGGTTAAGGGCTTCTTGCTGTTTATTTCTCTCTTTTGCATTGATTTTCGTACCCAGAAAGAAATTTTTGTAGCTGATTTATGTTTCTTGTTGTTACATAAATTCATTTGCAACTCATTAAAGCGCTTTAGTGGAAATTGATCCTTGAAATTCGAATGTTTTTTAATATTTGGCAAGTCTTAGATGGAATCGATTGACAGAATTATTGCAAATTTGAATGTTCGTGGAAAATTGTTCGAAAATCAACATGAAATAAATTATTAAATTTTACATTGTATGAATTGATTTTAATTACTGTAGCTACCGTGAGGCATCATCTACATAGGATTTAATGGAGTGTGGATTTTAATTATTTTATTTGAATATAATTTGCATTTTAGGTTGAAAGTATTCTTGTATTTTGCTGGTTTTTGAACAAAGTTTAGAAAGTTTTGAAAGAAAAATCATTTGAAATGTTCTTTTTTGGTTCTTTTTGGACTGTTAACAAATGAAATCATCTAAAAAAGATCTTCTGTAATCTCCTGGAATCTCCTGGAATCGTTCAAATTAGGGAAATTCTCAGAAACTTCTGTTCTTTAAATGACATCAAGAAAACCTAGTGAAAATGTTTCAAAAAAAAAAATTGAATTAAAATGTTTAATTTTGAAGTCATTGATGTCGATACCTTCTTATGTGTGCATGAATCTTTGGTCTAAGAGAGTTTGGGAATAGAAAAAGTAAATCGCATGGCATAGCGATTACAAGATCCTTTTTTGAAGTTATTTTATTGGATTTACAGTGTAAATTTTACACCTAATTTGCTCATCTTAAGACTATTAATGAACATGGAATCAGTCATTATCTTTACAGGAACTTGCATTCAAACTACAATCGTCCAATTTAATTACAAACCAGCTTTCCATCTAATAAATTCAAAACTCAACTTCCAATCATTTTTCCCATTGGTCTTCAGCTGTCTAGAAACCAAAAGTTCACACAGAACTTTAGCCTCAAGTTACAATCTTCAATAAAAATTGATGAAACTTGATGTCAGAAATGATCTATTTCCTCATATTTTGACTAGGCTACTGAAACACACCCACAATCGAATTTCATAATTTAGCATCGAAAATTCACGAATTGTGGAAAATTGACAGAACTCGATTGATTTTGCAACTAAAAATTCTATGGATAAATAAATCATTAAGCAAGTCCACGGCAGTCCATAGGTCAATCAATGTAAAATACTTTAATTAATAACTCAGCTTGAAATCCAAAAATTTTCAGCACATTCGGTAAGCTAGAAAATGTCGTAAGCATCTCAAAATATTTTTTAATCCATTGAGAAAGACTCTCACTGCATGCTTAGTATGCATTCATAGAAAAAAATATCTCAAATATGTCATAAGAAAATTTTATTTCGATCAAAAAAAAAGAGACTCGAATAGAAAAATTATGCATAACAACAAACAAAAAAAAAATAAAGCAAGCAGCACTACATGCCTCTCTTACCCACATTTTCGCTTTCCTTCCCAATACAATATTTCTTTTTTTGCATGATTCCGACCAAAACAAAAAGAAAAATATACACTGCAGACATGTTGAGACGGTATATATAAATAAGGTGAAATTCATTCCAAACCATCATTCACTGTTTGTTGTTCAAAACGCAAAGTTTAAAGAAACTTAATTGAAAAAAATTATTATTTTTGTGCCAAAAAATATTTAAAAAAATAAAAGAAATTTAAAATGGCATTCAAGGTAGGCAGGATAAGCAAATTTGAGGATTATTGTGATATTAAAGTGATAATTATAGTTCAAATATATTTTTATGGACAATATTTGTGCATTTATTAATTGAGAAAAGGATCTAATATGAATAGTGAGAACTTATAGATTGCTAGAATAAAAAGTGCTAGTATAAACTCAAACTAGTGAAGTCAATTATCAACTTAATCTAACTTTCTAGTTCAATTTGAAGAAAAACCAGAAATATTTGAAATAAAAGAATTATAAAAGCTGAAAAATAACGGTTCAAAAAATTCAAAATTATGTTTAAAAATCTAGCGTAAATTAAAAGTTGATTAATTGACCCCAAATCCCAATCCCTTATTTGTCTTTTGTGACAATCTCACCAAGAATTCCAAAAATAAATCCAACAAGCACAAGATAGAAAGTGAAAATGTTCCACATATTAGAAGCAAACTGCATTAATAATCATAAAAATTGCAAGTGAATGGGAATATAAAGCCATAAAAAATATTACGTCTTCATACTTATTGCTCAATATCATCACTCTTACATAAATCCAGAAACATAAAACTCGCGGAATCAGTGCCAAAAACAATTATTAATTTTTTAAAAAAAATATTTGTAGTTCATTGTTTTCGCATCACTCGTCGCACTTGCTGCTGCCCTTCCAGGCTACTATGACGAACACGAACAACACGAAGCTGAAGGATATGAACATATTGCTCGCAGTGACTATGGACATGAAGCTCAACATGACACTCATGAATATCAACATGAGGATGAACTTGTTGACTATTATGCTCACCCAAAATATGCCTACAAATATGGAGTTAATGACTATCATACTGGAGACATCAAGTCACAACACGAAACAAGAGACGGAGATGTTGTTAAGGGATCATACTCATTAGTCGAACCTGATGGTTCAGTCAGAACTGTAAGTTGAGCCTTTAATGTCACTTGAAAGTCATTTAACAGCCATGTTCTGCTCGGAACTGATCAAATCTCTTATTTTCCAATTCCAGGTTGAATACACAGCCGACAAACACAACGGTTTCAACGCTGTCGTCCACAAAACAGCCCCAGTACACCATCATTAAGGAAGTGAACCCCAAAAAAGTGTCTGTGACACTTTTCCTCACTTACCACTTACCAAATACTCTTACTTAATCTTCCTACCATTAATTTAAAGTAAAAAAAAATCGTTAACTTTTCTCGCTCAGAACTAAAAACCAACACAATCAGATGCATTTCATTGACATAAAAAATGAAGAAAAATTGAAGCACTCAACTCTGTTCATCGCACATGTTCATGTGACATTATTTTTTTGTTTTGTTAATTTTTTGTTTTAATTTCAATGCACATTTTCAAAATGTTTTCTTCGAGTGCTTCTGACCAAAAAAAAAATATATATTAAAATACTGTTGAGTAGATGAATATGAAGGTGCAGTAATAATTTAGAAGTTGAGATAATTAGGATGGAATTTAATGGCTGAAATTGATTGGAATAGAAGTTAAGGAGAATAGTTTGTAATCAGGGAATGACTGTGAAGATGTTAAAATAGTTTTGGATTGGAATTGGATAGTTGAAGGTTGATTAGATCAAGAAAAGTTTATAATAATATTCAAATATAATAATATATGAATTGAAGAATTTAAAGATCCAGGAAGGAAAAATTCGAATTTTTGGATTAATGATCAGGAAAGTCAGCTAAAACTACATCCAGTTGTTTTATAAGCTTTGAAAAAGAGTTGTTTGGAACTAAAATTGAGAAGATTCTTACTTAAACTAGGCTTAGAAAACAATTTTAAACATCTAGTAAGATCATGCCTCAGAAGTATCACTCAAAATCGAAAGTTTTTTCGACTGTGTCTCAAATATTGACAAACTCATGATGCAAAATGTCTAAAAGATTCATAAAAAATCATCAACGCTGCCTTAAATACAAATATCGTCAAGATTATTTTGATTCTAGAAAATTCTAACCCAAAAATGCCAAAACAATCTTCAATTGCTCAAACAAACAACATTGTCAAGTTGTTGCTGTCCTCCTACAAATGCCTGTGATATAAGACATCAAATTAAAAGTTTTAGGAAGACATCAGGCAGTTAGCAATTGAATCATAAGCAAGTGCATGGATTTATGAATCCACAATTTTCTAATTTCACTATTGCCTGAAAAAAAGAGGCAGGTTAATTGAAAAATGCACAACATCAAGTTGCATTATTACATCACATATACTTCCGACAATCGGTTGAGGAACTGGTTCATCGTTTATCATGATTATCTTAGACATGCGGCTGCTGATGCTGTGGAAAACCGGAATTCCAATAGTGGAATTTCCTGAACTATTTGCAGCTTGTCCAGCATCTGTTTAATGCATTTTTTCCTATCCACAAATGCACAACTTTTTCCTTGTCTACACGATGAAATTTTTCTCAATCCACAATTGAAGATTGCAGACATTTTGCATAATAAGAGTCTTTTTCTCATGCACAACTGGATATAATATCTGAAACAGTCAACGAACAACATCCGAATCAATTATGCAATACACATTATTGTTTGCATATGTAATAATATTATAACCATTTTTAATTACTCGATCAATAATTATTGTTGCTGCACTTTTCTTGTTATTAAAATGAATGAATTTAATTGAAAAAAAATGTTGAATAAAAAAAATATTTTGTATAAAGAAAAAGTTGAATGAATTCTTTTTTTGGATGTTAATGAGGTGATTATTGTTATTTTCCATTTCATTGGATAAGCTAGGCTTTATTAGGCTTTTAGCAGGAAAATTGATTATTCGATTATTTTGTAGCTGTGATAATTTTTGCAAATTTTAATTCCTTTCTTTTTTTACTGCAATTAATTTTATGGATTAAATGAATGTCAAAATAGTTTGAAGTCGTGAGAACAATGAGCTTTAAGTTGGAGATAATGGATGTATATTAAATTCGTTTTGACAACAGATAGCTGAAGTAGAGTCTCGATGTGAGTTTAACAGGAAGTGTTCATAAATAGACAAAGATCAACTGACTTTAGAATTGCAGGTTCAATTTTCAGGGTTCCACAATTTTTCCATAATTTTTTCAACCTAGAAAATAGAATATTCAAATTTTGAATATTTTTATATGGAATAAAATCATTTTGAGAATCGCAGTGTCTCCAGCTGAAAGGCTGGGCCCTTCACACATTATTATAATTATTACAATCATTTTGGGGGATTAAGAAAGCCGAAGTATGACTCCGAAGCTGACCAAATGTCAAGTGCATATCTTCTCGTGGTATCCACTGGTGACCGAGCCCTGCCACGGGATATGCACTTGAAAGGATAGATCAAAAGCCTTTCCAAACAACCTTGTCTGGAGGGTGGCAACCTCACAATCAGGCTAGGGATTGTAAGGTTTACAACCAACCATTTCCGAAATCAACTTGTATAAAGAAAGCAACATAAGGTTACCAGGACTGGATTCACAAGTTTACAACTGGACTTGGATGGAATCCGCAAGGGAAGAGACGAACCGGAGCGTCAAAAACTACTTTGTGCAGAACAATGATGAAAGAATGTCAGCTAAATGTGCTGACAGAGATTTTGTACAAACTGACAACAGAGTCAGATGGAAAACCTTTTGTTGTAACCGAAGCTACACATACCATAAGATGCCCCAGTACTTAGAGTGACTGTTGCAGACTTTATGGATGGCAAGAGATCACGAGGAAGACCAAAGAACACCTGCATTGGACTGGCAGAAGGTTTCGAAGGATAGAGCTGTCTTTAGACGATGCCAAGGAAGTAAGTAAATTAGTAAGCTACACATAGGATAATGGTTACAATAAGGAGTAAAGTGCAAACATTCCAGCCTTAGTGACCAAATAAATAAGTCGGATAGCTCCGTGAAGCTCTCAATCAAATCTGTTTTATACCAATTCAAAAAGATTTATTTGAAAACGTTTTGAAGCTTTCGTCGAGCTTACAAAGTTGAATTCATAGAAAACCTCATTCAAAGAAACATTTGAAGCGTTCAAAAACCTCAAGCTTTCACTTTCAATAACAAAGCTTTTCCTGCAAAAAAAGCTCACAACTCAACATTAAACTTGAAAACCATTTCAAGGTCACCCGTTGCATAAAAAAAGCCACACTATAAAATGTTCATTACGATCTTTTTCTCATATTTCCTTTTACGATTGTTTAAGCTTGTTGTCTGCTTGATTTTTTATTTTATTTTCTTGAATGCATATCTATGCAAATCAGATTTACATAATCATAAATATAAAAGCAGTAAGGACAACAAAACCTATTTATTCATTTATGGATAAAAGTGTTAAAAAATTATGGCAAAAATATGAAAACTTTAAATTGAAACGGCTGCTTATATGTTATCCATTTCTTAGTTGATGTCGGCACAAATTGTAGTAAAAAATTTCCATATTTCGGTAGTGACATAAATTACGCTGCATATTGAAATGGATATTTTTTTTTGCGAGTTTAGACAAGAAAATGATAGAATTTGTTTTAAGTATGGCAAGTGGGCGAATGTTTTGATTATGTAATTAGGAGTCATTCACAGTTAAACCAGCACCAACTTCAACCGAGCTACTCTAATCTAAAAGAAGACAATATCACTAAGAATGCAAATTAATATTCCGCCTAGTCATCTAAACAGCATGTCATAACAACCCCCAATGGGTGCCTACAACAATGTAAACCGTTATTTTTTCTAAAATTCAAACCTGTTTCAAAAAAATTCGAAAAATAATTTTTTATAAAAAATTTTGAAATTTTAAAGACCGTTAAATTTATTAATGAACAAAAATCAATTCTTCGACGCAAATTTGTTTTTTGAATGTAACAATCGACAATGAAGCTCAAGTTTTGATCGAAAAGTTACAAAAAATAATATTAAATTTTCAATAGTCTTTGAACAATGCTCAAATGGAATTTCAACCTGACTAAGAACAATATCTGAAAATTTTGTCTTGAATGTGTTACAATCACTTACAGCAGAAATCTCACTTCCGTCGACACTTATGTTGTTTGATTTTAAAAATAACAACCATTTATCTTTGTTTAATGAGTGCTTAGGTACTTTAAAAAGATTTGTAATTGTTTTATTTTTGTTGCAGCTTGCAATTTTGCAGGTTTTACCCATAATTAATGAAAATTAATCAAAATTTTACTGATGTAAACAAACATAATTTTTTGATAAAATATTTTTAACGGAATTTCATTTTTTGAAAAAAATTCAAATTCGAATTTTCGATTTCGAGAAATAAGGACCATTTTCGAAGAATAAGAACCATCGGCACCCATTGGAACAACCCATAAAACTCATTTCTCACAGCAAAAACTGCTTCAAACTTACAATTGTGCATTATGTTAATGCTATATGCAAACTTAATTTTTACAAGAAACAAAATCCATTGATCAGTTTTTAATCTTTAAGGAATTGCTGCAATGTTTACATTTGTTACACAAATCTCAGCCCAAACATGTTCATTAGTCGAGTCTAATGTGGATTAATTTGTAGAAATAAAAAGTAAAGAAGTTGTTAGGGGCCATTCACTTATTACGTAACGCTTTTAGGGGGGGAGGGGGGTCTAAGATTTTGTTACGGTTCAAACAAGGAAATTTTTTTTTCATACAAATTTTGTTACGAGGGGGGGGGGGGGGGTCTAAAAAGTCATTTTTTCGCGTTACGTAATAAGTGAACAGCCCCTTATTACGTCTGTGATTCATTGCTGAGTGCATCATAATTTTCTATGTGCAATGCATCCATTAAGTATAGACAAATTGGTTACTAGAACTCGAAAAAAAATATTCCATGTCTTTATGTGTGAGAAAATATGTAATTATGATCATATGCTAATAACAAAAAGAAGTAAAACCTTGCATGAATCTCGACATGGAAATAATAGACAACTTACAATATGCTACCGCAATCAGTGTGTTTTAAGCTTAGATTATTGTTGATGCCCGATTAATAACCAATTATTTCTTCTTAAAAATTATTAAATTTTTATGGGATCAATAACAATGGAGTTTTGAAGCATTTACCTGGATTGTTGATGTTGCTGTAGCTTATTTGGGGTTTTTCACATGTGATGTCTTATGTTTTTTGCTTAGGTTCATCTAAAGCTTCAAGAACCTGTATCAATAATATCTTTATTTTAGTTTTATGACTCAATGTTCATAGAGGTGTTGATTTGGTTCAATAGTGGAAATGACAAGCAACTTGTTCTGTCTTGAATCAAATCTTCTTTAAAATACATCTCAAAGCTTTTCAAAGTAAGCCACAGTCTGCGAATATTACTTAATCGACAAAATAAACCAAAAACCCAATTCTCCAACAGCCATTACTTCCGCACAACCCCCAATATTATGACTAATCACAAATTTTACCATGCTTAGTTCTAAACTCAATCATTTCTATAAGACTTCTCTCAATGGGTGTCATAAATGCTTAAATTCATGCATAATTGTGAGACTTACAGTCGAGTCAAATCCGGCTATAATAAATGAACACAATAAAGATCTCTTTTGATTTCCATAAACAAATTAATTGAAAATTAAATAGATTAAAAATTTATTTTGTTAAATTGTAGAGCAATTGAGTCTGGTGTGTCGGTGGCTGTTGTTTGAGATACAAATCTGTTTGAGTTTAATGGTAATTTAGTCTATCCTGGTTGCGACAAGTATGTAAATTGGATATATAGAAGAAATAGATTATTCGGAGCAGAATTGTCGAGAAAAGTTTGTAGGATTGCTAGATGTCATAAATGAAAGGCTCTTAAGCCAAAGAATCTGAAAATACAGGTTCAGAAACCTTAGAAACATTCTGGTGATTGACAGTCGGAACTTTGAAAATTGTAAAGACCAAACACATTAACTGCTGATTCCTTCCGGTTTTCCTAGATTCTACCTGTTTGTAGCGTCAATATTCAAATAAACTTAATGTCTATCAGGAGTTGTAATCACTAGCATGTGTAAATAACTGTAAAAACAGTAGATTTAATTTGAATGACGTATGAGCCGTCGCTTAACAAGGTGTCATTTTAGTGCTTTAACATAGCAACAACTTGTGTGACAGAACTAGAAAAAAAAACAAGTGAATTTTGTAATTTAGAATAATCTATAAATTGAGTAACCGCATGAATAATCATCTAATGTCAAACAGCAACGACTCCATAATTATTCAAATTTCATATGCAATTCGATTATATCCTGCTAAAGCTTGTTTAGTGCTTCTACTGCAATACGCAAATATTTTCCGCATATTTGAACTTGACTCCATTTATCTCATTCTCTCCGCATATCACGCATTCCGCTATGACAGCAGCAAAAAAACTATTCAACTTATGAATTTGTTTGTGGTCGGCAGCACAAGTTTTGTGTCAAGTTGAAATCGAAAGTAAATATTTTTTTTTTGCTTTTCTTCTTGTTTGTTTGGTAATTTGGTGAGTTCATGACCAATAATGCATGTTTAAAATTCGCTTGTGATTACGTGCTGTAATATGATCGTTCCATTTATGGATATTTTATGAATGAACGAGAAGAAATTGACTTTTTTTCCTTGTTGTTGCTAAATTTAAATTGCATGTATTTTTGCTGTGCAAGTCAT